GTACTCTCGTGACTTACTCTGTTAATAAATACCCTGCCAGAAGCTTCAGAGAGAGTCAATGGATAGTTATTGAAGGGTATAGTTATTGCTGTTTGTCACCCGATATTGATATTGAAAGGTATTTTTAGAATATTGTATTTAGTGTATTTTTTGTTCTTTCTGGTTTTTTCTCCTGATTCCATTATTATTGAGTTATTAATATTTATCATAAATTGTGTATTAATAATGGTGTGAAGTCCTTGCCAGGCATTTGTTTATTAACTGTGTTGAATTTATCTCTATGTTTGTTATTGTGAATAAATTGTTTTTTGTTTTTTTTAACCCCGGTTGTAGCGGTGTGTTTACTTTAGAATGTTACACTTTTACATTATGTAACTTTATGATAAACATTTTCTATTTACTCAGTTTTTTACTTTTTATTGCGTTTTAACCATAAAAATCAAAATAGAATGTTATCTCTTGGACATTATAATAGTTTTTAATTGTAAACAGATCCCATATTACTTGAACTTTGTAATATTAATATTACTGTCTTAATGTTCCCGCTCCAGCTTTCTTTGGGAGCCGCATACATACTGGTAGACTGATATCATATTCTAAATATTCCTATAGTTTTACTTAGGTTTAGAATTTTTGTTTATTCTCCAAGTTATAATACAGAACCAGAAGATCTAGTGTAGTTTTTATGCTAAACTTGTCCGTAGCTATCTAGTAACCTTGTTAGCTGGCGCTTATTTGGATTGTCTATCATCAGGAGTGAACGGGGATAGAGCAATAAGTGTTAAAGTTAGTAATGTGAACTTTAAAATATTACAATTTTCTATAGTAGCCTCCTTTGAAAAATCTGGCGTGACATGTGTTTCCAAGTTTATTTTGTTCTTAACATTTTTCACTTGAAGCACGTCCTAGAATACTGAAATCTTGAACAGTAAGAAGAAAGTCAGTCTTGTAAGCCATATTGAAGAATAGCTGACAGGTGTATATTGAGTATTTTGCACATGCTTTTTAATCGTTGAACTCAAAAAACGATTTGTAAAGCCAACATACTCATAGTTACATCTTTGACATGTAAGTTTATAGATGACGCAAGGACGTTTTAAGAACACTGTCTTTAAATTTATAGTTATTTTTTAAACGAATTATTGGCTCAAAACAATTCTAAGCTGAATTTGAGGATTAATCTTACAATTTAAAACAGTTTAAATGCTTTTTTAAATTCTAAAGCATGTTTTCCTGTAAACAGTAAAAACAATAAACTATCTGTTTAGTTATAACATTTGTTATTTTTAGAATTATTCTTGATTTGTTGGTTTGTTTTGCTGTTAAACACCAAACTACAAAATGGGCTATTTGTGCTCAGCCCATGCATTGCGGGTATGGGAACTCGATTTTTAGCGTTATAACACTTCAGGTTCACCGCTGAGGGGATAGAGTTATGTAAAACCTCTAAATAGTATTAATAACCAAATATAAAGCAACCTAATTTTTTGTAATAATTTATTTATATTTACGGCCTCTTCATGATATTCAGAAAAAGAACTAACTATGTATTAAAATATTAATTAATTTATATTTGAAGACCAGGAGTAAATAACTGTCAAAATGAAAATATAAACCAGTAAAAGTTGATTTATGGTAACATTGACTTTCAAGAAGTTTTCCTTAATTAAATATTTCAGTATCCAAAAATGGTAAAGCGGATTAATTTTGGTTTTTAACAATAAATATTGACTATTTAAATAAGCAATCGATACATTTAGTGGAAAACGAAGTCTGATAATGAATAGTAGATCCACGTCAACAACTGTAAACATCTTTAAAGAACGTTTAGGAATTAAACATATTCCATCTTCAGCAAATCTATAAGATAACACATTGAACAATCTTAAGTATAATTACTAATAACAAATAAAATGAATAATGTTAGAATATTATAGAATATTCAATAAAAAAAGAGCTAACTGAATAAAGCAAGGGGGGACGAGTTTGAATTTCTGTTGAGGCTTGTATATTCGTTCATAATATGCAAACTTTCTTTTATCAACAATACGTTCCAAGGTCATATATAAATGTACATGTAGTAGGTGTAAAGTCATCTACATAGGCAAGACATCCCTCTATTTACAAATACGCGCCTTGGAACACATGGGAGTTTCTAACAGAACTTGACTTAAACTTCAAACTCCACCTAACTCTTCTATATAGTATCACCATGAAATGTCATCGCACCCTATTTCCTTCGAATACTTTCCAATTCTATTTAAATGGTTTTGAAATTCGTATATCTTATTTGTGATATAATGGTTTAATCTCTTCAGGACACTTGTATAACTCATGCTAACTTAAAAACAAATTAGCTAAACATGGTGCAACCTTGATCCCATAGAAACTCCATCTAGTTGTTCATAATAACAATAATTAAAAACGAAATTAAACTCTTTAGTGACAAATTCCAACATTTTAAAAAAAAGCTACTTTCATTTTATTCCTAATAGCATCTGAAGTTTGAAATCTAAATTACTACTTAACTCAATAGCTTCATTTATAGGTACATCTCTATATAATGACTCAAAGTCCAAAGTAGCAACGTAGACGGGTTCATTAAAAACTAATTTGCAAACATATCTGAAAACTTAAAATTATTTTTACTGTAAATTCATCTGATACAAATGGCTAATAATAACTGCTACTTTAAGAGTAAAAGTGACTATACTTGATACAATCGGTCTTATAAGAAAATTCATTTTGTGTACATTAGGTAATCCATAGAATATTCCATAATGCTAAACAACTGGTCTGATTTTATTGTAAGTCATTTCAGATACAAATTCTTCTTGTTTAATTTTTACAGATAATTTTGTATACATCTCTCTCTCTCTCAAGGCTATAGGATCGGACTTCAATATGCCTGGTGGTTAGGGCGTTCAACTCGCAATTTATTAATTAATCTGAGAGTCGCGGGTTTAAATCCCCATCACCGTGAGGGCGTTATAATGTAACAGTCAATCCCACTTTTCATTGTTAAAAAAGTAATCCAAGAGTTTGTGGTGGGTAGTGTTCACTAGCTGCCTTCCCTCTAGTCTATCACTTCTAAATTAGGGTCAGTTAGCACAGATAACCTTCGTGCAAATTTTGCGAAATTCAATCTTTCTTATTCAGGATTGCTATTCTATTACCTTTATCAGACTTAAGCATTATCCAAC